TCAAATGCCTTTTAGAAATCCAAATATGTTCTATCTACTGGATCTCCTAATTGATTCTGCCTGTTACCTTCTCAAATAACTCAAATACATTAGTCGCATGATTTCTCCTTCATCAGGCCATGCTGAGTCTGCTTAATCAGGTTTTGTATTTCTAAATGTTTTGCTATTACATCTTTTATAACAGACTCAAACATTTTCCCAACAATAGGTTTTAAGCCAGACTATAGTAAGCTGGTTTATTATCTCCGTCCCTTTTTGAAAAAGACTGTTACATTTGCAGTTTCCAATCTTCTGAGATGTTTCCAGAATCTAAGGGTTTTTGGAAGATTGCTACCAGTGCATACTCTTTCTCTGTAGCTACTTCCTTGAATATCCTTGGATGCAAACAATCAGGTCCAGATGACTTTAGCCTCATTAGTTTCATTAGTACATTTTGTTTAATGTTTTGTGAATATTTGCCTCTAGGTTATTTAGTAATGTTGACATTCTATTGGTGTCTTCTACTGTGAAGACTCTTGCAAGATATTTATTCAACTCTTCCACCATTTTCTTGTTTCCCATTATTATTTCCTCCAGCCTCATTCCCTCAGGGGCTAGTTCATTTTGGCCTCTCTCTTCCTTTTTAAAAAAAACCCTTGCTTTTGTTTTTGACTTCACTTGCTAGTTTACCTTCAATTTCCCCCCTTTTCCCCATATTATCATTTTTTTTTCATCATTCGTTAGTTTTTAAATCTTTCAAAATCCTTTGGCTTACCGCTAATCTTTTCTATATTGTGTTTACCTTCTTTCAATTTGATGTTCTTCCTAACTTTTGTGGTTAACCATTTGTCTTCTTCCTAGAATTCTTCTTCCTCACTGGGATATATTTTTATTGTGGGCCATCAACTATTTTCTTAAAAGTTTGCCATTGGTTATCAATCATCTTTTGTGCTGAACTGAAGTAGGTAGTGTGCAACAAAAATGTGCCACATGTGGTACAAGACTCTCCAAAGCCTGTCCACCATCTACAAGGCACACGTCAGGACTGTAATGGAATACTCCTCACTTGCCTGGATGGGTGCAGCTCCAACAACACTCAAGAAGCTTGACACTATCCAGGACAAAGCAGCCACTTGATTGGCACATCAACAGATATCCATTCCCTCCACCACCGACGCTGAGTGGCAGAAGTAGGTTTATCTACAAGATGCTCCGCAGAAATTCATCAAAAGTCATAGTCATGGAGTCATACAGCATGGAAACAGACCCTTCAGCCCAACCATAATCCCAAACTAAACTAGACCTCCCTGCCTGCGTTTGGCCGATATCCTTCCAAGCATTTCTTATTCATGTACTCATCTAAACGTCTTCTAAACATTGTAACTGTACCCGCGTCCAAAGCTTCCTCTGGAAGTTCATTCCACACATGAACTAATGTCTTTGTAAAAAAAATTGCTCCTCATATCTTTTTTAAATCTCCTCTCACCTTAAAAATATGCTCCCTAGTCTTGAAATCCCCCATCCAGGAAAAAAAAACACCTGCCATTTACCTTATCTATGCCCCTCATGATTTTATAAAACTCTATAACATCACCTCTCAACGTTCCTCACTCTCGTGAAAAAAGTCCTAGCCGATGAAAAAGTTCGAGACACCACCTTCCAAACCTGTTATCAGTACTATCTAGAAGGACAAGGGCAGCAGATACATGGGGACACCACAGTTGCAAACTCCCCTCTGAATCACTCATCATCCTGACCTGGAAATATATCACGTTTCCTTCAGTGTCACTGGGTCAAGAATCCTGGAATTCTCTCCCTAATAGCATTGTGGGTGACCCTATGCTGGAAGCACTGCAGTGGTTCAAGAAGGCAGCTCACCACCAAGTTCTCCAGGGCAACTAGGGACGGACATTAAATGCTGGCCCAGTTAGTGACACCCATGAACAAATTAAAAAAAAAGCAACATGCTCATAGAGGAGGCTAAGCAATGACAAAATTAGCTGCAATAGGTGCCAGGGGGAGGCACTTCAGGAATATTGGGTGGGCATAGCAGACCAAGAAATCCGAAAGTGTGAGCTGTGGGGAGGCCTCCATAATTTAACAACAGGAATGCTTTCTTCACTGATCCAGTTTAGGCAGTTAGCCAGATTGAATGGTGTGAGACAGGAAAGAGGGAGGGGGAGAGAGAGAGAGATCACAAGGGGTGCATCACAACCCTAATGGAAAGCCTAGACAAACAAAGTCTGTGATCATTTACACCATTTCTCTGGGATTCTCACTGAAGTTACATTGTCACAAGTGCCCTTCCTGTAAGTAAATGTTAACCCCAAATTCCATTATGAATCCGTAGCCATTTAGCCCTTGCCATGAATGTGAATATTAATGTACAATACAATGAACAATATCTGTAAATGATAAAATAATATCTTTATTACAGATTTAAAGAAAACACAACAATGGATTTGATAAACTGTGGAACTTTTATTTTCACATGGTCATGCCTCATTAATCAGTGACACTAATGTTTGATTATTGAAGTTATTGGGTTAATGAAGCACGTAGCCTGATCTTTTTCCATTCCATGTTTACTTTGGTGTAACTTGTCAGACCCAGCATTTTGTAATTTTCACATCAAATTCTTTTGCCATTTGTCCCAGTGATGAATGTCAAAGAAGGTGTGCTACCAGTGTAAAAGTTAGGTTCAATTAGGACACACTGATATTTTGTACTGTTCCTGATGCTGGCTTATCAAATCAGTGAGAGTGGTGCTGGTTTAAATGTCGCAAATAGATATTGCTTACAAACTGAGAAGAGTTGGTATATGTTAGCAGAGAAACATACCACAGCTTTTATTTATTCATTACAAGCGCAGAGCAAAATACATTTATTAATTTAATTCCTTATTCAGTAGGGAATTCAGGATAAACTTTGTTAATCAGAGCAGGAAACTTTCAGCCTTACTGACAAATGCTGGAGTAAAAATGTCTGAGGAGACACTGAGATTTATACACCGCTTTTCATGACTATCAAAGTCTGAAAGTGTAGGAGCAAATTGCTGCAGATGCTGGAATCTGTACTGAAAACAACAAATGCTGGAGATCACAGCTGCCTGACCCGCTCTGATATCCAGCAAAGTCTGAAAGTTTTACAGAGCAATCACCTTTGTATTATAGGAAACACTCCAACTAATTTGCACGTACCAAACTTTCCCAGTTTACAGTGTGTTAATGATCAGATAATCTGAGAT